CATGTATACATACACACAGGCATACGCAAGTATTCACACAGGATGCCTCTGTGAGTGTGAGCCTCTGTGGGAAGCATGTCACTCTCACACAGGAGTGAGTGTGTCCAGAGCTTGAAGCCTGCGACGCTCTATCTATCCCAGGCACCAGGCTCTACGTGCTTCCAAAAGCACAGAGAGAGGGTGCTGGAGTGATAGGCAGCTGGTAAGGTGCTTGCCTTGCATGCTGCCGACCTGGGTTTGATCCCATATGGTCCTCCAACTTCCACCAGGAGTAACTCAGTAACTTTCTTTAGTGCAAAAGTAGAAATAAGCCCTGAGCATTTCTGGGCAAGGCCAAAACCAAAACAGTTAACGCCCCCCCAAAAAAAATGCACAGATGGAGGCTGGAGAGATAGTAAAGTGGGCAGGATGTGTGCCTTATGCACAACCAGGGTTGTGCCTTGTGCCCTAACCAGGATTCGATTCCCAGCACCCCTTATGTTAGGAGTGATCTTTGAGCAGCTGCGCAGGAGGAAGAGAGCGGCTTGGAACGCTTCAAGAACGTCGAAGAAATAGCTAAGAGGACGAAGAACCTCCGGCTCTGGGCACATCTCTTTGATTCCACTGTTCTTCCTGCATTAACATATGCCTCAGAGACCTGGGCCCTACGCAAACAAGATGAGAACGCCATTCAGGTCTCCCAAAGAAGAATAGAAAGAGCTATGCTTGGAATATCACGTTTCACTCAAATGAGAGAAAGAATCCGGAGTTCTGACATCCGTCGACGATCAAGGATCAGGGACGCTGTCTCTTTTGCCAAGGTGTCGAAAATCAGATGGGCTGGTCACGTAATGAGATTTAAAGACGACCGTTGGACTAGAGCTGTTACTGATTGGATTCCACGGGATGTCAAGAGACCGCGTGGCCGCCCACCTACCAGATGGTCAGACTTCTTCGTCAAGATCATGAACGATCGGTTTGAAGCCCTTCATGTTCCTGGAGCGAACAGATGCCATTGGGCTACACTAGCACGCGACAGGGACAAATGGAGACGTTACTGGCGCCCGCTCGAGCAAATCGCCGACTAATGGGAAGTTAAGTGATTAAGTGATCTTTGAGCACAGAGCCAGAAGTAAGTTCTGAGCTTGGGTGTGGTTGGGTGTGGCCCCAAAACAAAGAGAGAGAGAATGAAAGAGAGAGACAGAGAGGGGGGGGGAGAGAAATGTGCAGAGGTAGAATAGGAGGAGGGAGAGAGGTCTGGACCCACCTGGAAAGACCCAACATGTGTCCCCTTCCCCTGGCTGGTCCTTCATCATACCTGCCTCATCAAAGGCAGCCAGGCCTTCTGCAACTGGGGTTCTTTGGGAAGCAGGGAGGGCACCCATATTCTCACTGTAGGACCGTTGCCAAGAATTGGAAGGGCTTCAAGAGCATTTATGGCAATGGGGGATCAATTGCTACAAATCAATCAATCACCCAGGATCAACAGGGGGACTCAGCAGAGGCATCACAGGGATTGTCTAGTAATTAGGAGATGCCTCTTTTTTGCAGGCTGGGGCCGGGCGCCCCCAGGCAGTGTCATCCTAACGAGTGTGAATGGGCATTTCTTTACATGAGTGCATCTCTCTCTGACCCAAAGTAGAGATGTTGAACACATTTTTCCTGTGCTTCTTGGATGATATTATGTCTTTGAGGAAATGTATGCAGACCCTTTTCTCTCTCTTTCTTTGAAATTTATTTTTCATTTGTTTTGGGTTCCTACCTGGCAATGCTCAGTGGTTACTCCTGATTCTGGACTCAGGAATTCCTCCTGGCAGTGCTCAGGTGACCATATGGGATGCCGGGAACTGAATCCAGGTCAGTCACATACAAGGCAAACACCTTACCCGCTGGACTATCTCTCCAGCCCCATCAAAACCTTTTCTTTATGAAAATAACTTTTTGAAACTATTATTGTGAAAGGCCCTTAATTTTTTTTTGGGGGGTTGGGGGTCACACCCAGAGATGCTCAGAATTTACTCCAGGCTCTGTGCTTAGGGATCACTCCTGGTGGGACTCAAGGGATCACATGAAATGCCGGAGATGGAGCTCAGGTCGGTCGTGTACAAAGCAAGCGCCCTCCCCACTATCCTGTTCTCCGCAGAGACCCTCTCTAATGTAGCCTGAGCACTCGCTTGCCCAGTGAACCTCTAAGGCCCCAAGGCAGCAATGTGGGGTGTTCACTCACATCAGAGCGTGTAGTGCGCTTTTGCCATATGCATCACCATTTGTACTTAGTTATACCTACAAGGGATAATCCTTCCCTCCATACATACATGGTTCCTGTAGGTGATGGGAAGAGACAGACAGTAGGACACCCCTGCACTGCGCGTGCCAGGATGGCCTTTTTCCCAGGCCTCCCTCGGGTACCTGCACTCCTGTGCACGCACACTAGGGGGCGCGCAGGAGTCTGCAGGGTGTACTTCCGGCAGGGGGTCGCAGCGGGGGAGGGGGGGTCCCCCAACTCCTTCCACGTGGGAGGAGGGGAGGGCTTCTACATATGCATCTCACACTTTTTTTGAGTTCCTTCCTGCTAGCGGCGGGGTGTCTTTGTAAGCACATGGAGTGGGTGTTTCTTGTGTTAGTTTGCCACACGCACTGGGGTGGGGGTGTCTTCAGAACCTGCTTTAGGGAGCGGGGTCTATCATAGACATATGGGGAGGGCCATTAGGTCAGCGGGGCTACTCCGTGCGGTGTACAGTGTGGGGTCGGGCCTGCCCCATGCAGGGGTCGACGCGATTCCGAGCCTCTCCTGCATGAACTGCCTCAGTCCTGGCCCAGCCGTGCGCGCCCTCGAGCCGTTGTTTCTTGCATTTCGCTGTGCTCCGCGCGGTGCGGTCCCGCGGGGCCTCTGTGGTCGCTCGGTGCGCTCGGGACCATGGACTTATTTCGTTCGCCTGCAGGGTCGGTCAGTAGGTGTTACCGCATTTATTTCTGCCGTGCAAGGGCAGCGTCGGTCTTGGGAGCCTGCCCGGTGCACGTGGGCTGTCAGTGATTCTCGTGTTTCGCTCCCGCACGCGTCGCCAGGGTCCCGTGTGCCCACTCAGGCCGCCGGGCAGGCCGGGCGGGTAACAAAGCGATTGGCGGCTGCGGCAGCCGAGCCGAGCCGAGCCCGCGCCTTGCGCGCTCCCGGCCTCCCTCCGCCACCGCCCTCCTCCCGCCTACCCCCGCCCGGGCCGGGTACCACTTGCAGCCCCATTCTCCTCCTCGCACCTCTGAGACCCTGCCGGCAGGGGGCGGCAGCGGCGCGGAAGCCTCGTGCCACGCCCCCCCACGCCCCCTCCCGGCCCAAGATTTCATTCCCTCTAGGCCCCCATTTCCCCGCTCCAGCCTTACTGAGCCTGGACCGGGAGGTGCTGGGGGACTGGGGACTGCCCTCTTTGCACTCCTCCCTGGCGCCTTAGTGGTGCAGGGACCCATCATCACTGTTCCTTATTCTCCCCCTTTTCCCTCCATATCTGACTGCGACTTGCGTTTCCCATAGGCCCCTCGTGCTTATCCGGATCCCTCTCTTCTCTGTCCCTCTGTCTTCCTAGGTGTCTCCCGGTCCAGTCTCTGTCCTGTCTTGGGTGTCTCTCGCTGTCTCTGCTGCTTTGTCTCTTTTTCTGGCCTCCGTGTCTCCTTGTCTCCCTCTTTTGTCTCTGTCTCTGCCTCAGTCTCTATCGTTTGGTCTCTGTTGGTGTCCTGCAGGTTTTGCCTCCATCTGCCTGTTGCTCTCTCTTTAATCTCATTCTTTGTCTCTGGCTCTGCCTGTCTCTCCTCTCTGTGCACCTGTCTCACTATCTCTGTACTCCTCTGGCTCTCTCTGTCCTCTTTACCCCCCTCACTGCACGTGGCTGCCTCAGTGTCTGGTCTCAATGTCTCCATCTCTGTGTCTCTGTCTCTGTGTCTGGACTCAGTGTCTCCATCTCTGTGTCTGGTCTCAGTGTCTCCATCTCTCTGTCTCTCTGTCTCTGTCTCTGTCTCTGATCTCCATGTCTCCATCTCTGCCTGTCTCTGTCTCTATCTTGGTGTTTCCAACTGTCTTTGATTTCCATGTCTCTGCCTCTACCTGTCTCTGTGTCTCTGTCTCTGCCTGTCTCTGTCTATCTCATCTCGGGGTCTCGTCTCATCCCTCAGGGCCTCTGTCTCATCTCTATCTCTCATCTCATCCCTCCCGGGCAGTCTATCTCCCCGTCGCTGTTCTGGCTTTTCATCTCTCTCCCTGCTCTGACCCTTCTCCCTTCCCTGTCTCTTTGTCTCTGAGATCTCTGTGGTTGTGGAGGCCACTCTGCCTTGGCATCCCCATCTGCTCTCCCCCGCACACACACAAACACACTGCCTTGCCAGTGTCCGTGTGCCTCCTGATGTCTCTGGCATCTCTCTGGTGCTGGGATTCCCTTCTCGACCTGGGGTCCCTGTGTCCCCTCTCCCCTGGCCCCGGGGCCTCTCCCTCCTATGGTTCCTCGAGGTTGACTCGCCTCAGCCCCTCCCCTCACTCTGACCCTGTACTCCCAAATTTTCCATGTCTCTGGGTATCTCTGGGTCTGGCCATCTCTTTGTCTCTGTGCATCTTTTCCTGTCTCTGTGTCCTGAGCTCTCCCTGGTCTCTGTCTCTGGATGGTCTGTCTCTGCCTTGGAGTCCCCTGTGCTCCCCGCCATCCCCTTTCCCGTCTGTATCTTTGCAAGCATCTCTGCGTCTCGCATATCTCTGTGTCTCTGTGTCTCTCTGGACTCCTTCTGTCTCTGTGTCCCCCTCTACTGGCCCCCTCTCTGCCCACCCGCCTTCCCTGGCGGAGCGCCTCTCTGTCTCTGCGCGTCTCTCTGTCTCTGCGCGTCTCTCTGTCTCTGCGCGTCTCTGTGGGTCTCTGTGGCTCTGTGGCTCTCAGGCCTCTCCCTGCCTCCGTGTCCCTTGCGCTCCCCGCCCTCTCCCTCTCCCCCGCTCCCCCCGCGCTCCCTCGCTCGCGCTCTCTCTCTGAGCATCCTTGGGCCCGGGGTTGCCATGGGGACAAGGTGGGAGCCGGGGATGGCGCGCGCCTGGGCTCGCGCCGGCAGCTCAGGCGAGGAGCAGCGGCCAGAGCAGCGCCAGCAGCAGGCAGCGAGCGGGCGCGGGAGCGGGAGCGGGAGCGGGGGCAGCGTTGGCGGCGGCGGCTCCTCCTCGGCCATCCCCTCGGAGCCGTGCAGCTGACGCGCATGGCGAAGACAGCGGCGCCTACCGATGGGAGCAGCGGTAAGGCAAGGCGGCGCGGCGCAGCCGGGCGGGCGGGCGGGCGGGCGGGCGGCGGGCAGCCTCCTCCTCTCCCCAGCTCGCCTGCGCGCCCGCCCGCCCGCCCTCCCTTCCTCCCTCTCCCCTCGCAGCCCCTGCCCGCCCGCCCGCGCCGCGCTCGCCCTTCCATTTAAAAATCTTTAAAACTTTGCATATTAATATCTGCGCTTTGCATAATCTGACCCGCGCTTTATTGATTGCAAGAAGCTTAATGCAGCCGGCTCGGCCTATTGCAGAGGGCTCTCCGGGCGGGGAGCCGGGCGGGCGCCGCGCGCTGCGCACCGCGCTCCGGCAGCCGCGGCCCCGGCCCTCTCGCCTCCCCTCCCGGCGCCCGGCGGCGGGGCTTTGCCCCCTGGCTGGGTATTTTTATTATTTGGGGAATGTGTGTGTGTGTGTCTGTGTGTGTGTGCGCGCGCGGGTGGGGGGGTTCGGCTTGCTCTCGATGGCAGCGAGAGAACCAAAGGAGAGATGTGCGTGGAGGTGGGGGGGATGGGAAGAAATGGGGACGAAGAGGAGAAGAGGAAGAAAAGGGGGGAAGAAGGGGCAAGAGGGATGGTGAAAGGCGCGGTGTGGAGGAAGAGGCAGCGGACAGAGGAGAGCGCAGCAGGCGGAGGCCGGATCGGAAAGGACGGGAGCGAGAGATGAGACAGAGGAGAGAAAGGAGGGAGGCGAGCCGGGCGCAGAGAAAGAGCCGCGGACGGCCGGAGCCGGCCGAGGAGACCCGCGGTCGGCGTCGGCCGCTGCCACCCCAGGTTGGGGGTTGGAGGAGAGAGAAGAAAGAAAAATGGAAAGGAAGGGGGTGGGGAGAGAGAAAAACGGATGAAAATTAAATACATGGAAGCCGGGCTACCAAATACAGAAAAACAGGAGCCTGCGGCCAGCGAGGGGGGCGGCACTCACTCCCGCTGGCTTCGGGGCTCCGGAGAGGCTCTGGGGCTGGGCAGGGCGGGATCCCCGTTTGGACCCTGCGTTTGGGGCAGGGACTGGCCGGGGAGAAAATGAGGCAAGAGGGGGCCGGGGCTGGCGGCGGTGCCCATTTCCCGCCTTGGCTGGGGGTGTGGGGGCCGGTGTAGTGAAGAGGAGGAGGAGGAGGAGGAGGAGGAGGAGGAGGAGGAGGAGGAGGAGGAGGAGGAGGAGGAGGAGGAGGAGGAGGCGGTGGCTGGTGCTGCTGTGTGAGGCTCCAAAGCAAGCAGGGTGCTTGGGGGGAGAGGTAAGAGGGCGCAGGAGCGGGCATGGGTGGGGAGGGGTGGAAATGAGGGGCCAGAGAAGGAAACGGGGTACCCGGGGCTGCCGGAAGGGTGGACGGCAGGAGCGGGAGCGGCCGGGATGGGCGCCCAGAAGCCGCGGCGGCTGGGTCAGGAGCAGGCAGCAGTGCTTTGGGCCAGGAGTGATGTTGGGGAGCCAGTGTGCGCCCCTCAGTCTTCTGGGCAAAGTCTGTAACTTGGGGAACCCCATTGGCTGCCTCTGCTTGCCCCTTCGCCACCTTCTCTTTTCTTTCTCTCTTGTCCTTTCTCGGCTCCTCTTCCTCCATCTCCTCGGCCAGCTTCTCCTTCTCTTTCCCCCTCTTTCCAGTTTCTCTCTTCCTCCTGGCCCCAGGGCCCCTCCCCGAGTTTTTCTCTACCCCCTATCTTTATTCTCTCCACCCTCCCTTCCCTTTCCTCCCTTTTTCCCTCCCCCCTTGCTCCTTTTCTTCCCTATCCTCCCTGCCACTCATCCCCCTTGTCCCCTGTCCTGCCGTCCCCTCCCTCAGTTTCATTTATTCATCACTTTGTAGCATTGGCGTGACAGGAGAGGGACTCTGCACAGAGATAAGAAGCCCCCAAGTTCCCACCAACACCTTCCCCCACCCACTCCACACCCCCGCCCCACTTTGCCAACCTCATTTCCCCCCGTGCTTGGGCCTGGGTCTCCCCTTTCCTCTCCAGAGAAGTCCTGGGGTTGCTCACTGGGATCCTGGGAGGCGGCCCCTGGTTCCAGAGCTCCTGGGGAGAGCTGGGTGTGGACAGGGAATGGGGGACAGGGAAATCCTGGGGGTGGTTCCCCCAGCGGCTCCCAGAGTCGCAGGGACAAGCTCCTAAGAGAAAGCCTCTGGCCTGCTGACCGCTCCCTGTTCCTTTCCCCAAGTCCCGGGGCCTGTGGAGTTGGGGAGCCCAAGCCAAATGAATCGCTGAACTCAGTTTCTTTGAATCCCTGGCCCTTCTGGCAGGTACTCGCCCCCCCACCCCACCCCCAGGTTAGCGGAGTAGGCAGCAGTGCGCCATGGGGGGCTGGCGTGGACAAAGTCTGGCCATGGCGGCAGACAGTGGGGCGTGTGGATCAGGCCTGTGTGTCCATGTGGCCAGGGCTGTTCTGGGTGGGCTGACTGTGCGCAGGGCCTGGCTGCCTCAGCTAAAGGGGGGACAGTAGGGGGCAGGGATCCCGGTCAGAGGGGTCCCCCATTGTGGAGGACGCGTGTGCTGGAGTCATGTGTGTATTTTTCCTGTTCCTTCCCTCATCCTGATGGTCATGGCTCCCGGGATGTGCGTGTGCTTGGGGGATGAGGGGGCACTGCCATGTGAAGCAGGTGTGTGCGTGTGCAGACCCGGTGCCGGGGGGTACGAGTCCATTGGGGTGGCATGGCGGGCAGAGAGGCTCGGTGTACGTGTGTGTGGACCCCCGGTTGGAGGGCTGTGTGCGTGCATAGGACAGGCCGCGCTGCCTGAGGTCACCTGGGAAAGTGGCCTGACTGCAGAGAGCCCCTACTATTGTTGTGGGTATGATTAGGGACCTCCACAGCCGGGGGGGGGGGGCGGGGGGGGCAGAGAGAGGGTGAGCAGCCGGGGGGCAGGGGGGAAAGAGGAGTACAGAGCTGGAGGGCATTCGGTTCCCTAGAAGAGGGGTTCAGGGAAGCAAAACATACAAACACGCCCCCACCCAAAGTCGCCCACAGAAACCACCCCCGACTCTAACGTGGTAACAAAGTGTCCGGGGTTGGGGCCTGGGGGTGGGGTGCCATCCAGAGGAAGGCGAGTCAGGGGAGCAGGTAATCTCTCCAGCGGCCAGTCCCTGGGTTCTGCATCAGTTTCCTGATTTCCGGGTAACGCTGGGTGTCCGTGGCAGAGATGAAACCCCCATTTCCAGTGGCAGTGTAAACCTCGAGGGCCTGGGTTACACTTACCTCTGGAGAGTGTGGTATCGGGAAGGGACTTGGGCATGATGTGTGTGCCCGGCCCACGGTTGCACACGGAATGTGCGAGAGAAACCCAGGCGGCGGGCTGACCAGGTTTTATTTCCAACGGGTCCTTCAGTGGCTGTGCCAACCCACGTCCATCCTTAGGTAGACTCTCCCCTTGTAGACAGGGGCCCTGGACAGAATCCCTTCCCCCACCCACGAGGCAGCCACACAGGGGCTGGGGGTGGGGTCAGCCTCCACACCCTACCAGACAGGCCTCATCCGAGCCCTGATGTATAATCCTAATGTACGTGGGGGGCAGATGGCCATGCCAGGGGCTGCTTGGACGGGGCCAGGGAGCAGTTGTTGTGTCTGACCCGTGCTGCTGCATTTCCAGGATTCTTTTTTTTTCCAGGCTTAAAAGGGTGGAAAAACCCGGGGAATCGTTAGAGCAGAGAGTGGGTGTGGGGGTCTCAGTTCTTTCTTCTAAATATATATCACCTGTCATTCCGCCGTGGGCCAGCCCCTCCTGATCTAATAACAGGATGACCAGGCCCCCCACCAGTCACGTGGCCTGGCTCCCACCGCAGCCCCAGGGCCACCCCCTCCCGCAGTGGGGTCTGCAGCCCACCCCGTTCTCACAGCCCATAAACAGCCGAGAGGGCCGGCAGCGAGGTCTGGCCTCCCTCTGGCCAGCGGTCCAAGGATCGCTCCTTTCTCTAGAGCCAACCCTTCTCCCCCCACCCACCATGTTCATCCATGGACCCTTCTCCCCGCCCTGACAGGTGGACAGAAGCCTGCGGGGGACAGGGACCTCAGCCAGAATCTGCGGGCCTGGGTCTTACTGTGTATCCTGAAGGAGGGCTGCCCATGAGCCAGGGTACCAGCCCACCCTGGCCATTTCGGTAGGGGTCCAGAACTGCTTAGGTCCCCCACACTGTGCCGCCAGCCAGACACGTGGGGATGTGGATGTGCCTCTCCCTGCATCTCAGCGCTCATCAGGCCCGGGGTAGGGGCTGGCAGGGGCCGTCCCGAAGCGGGTACTGAGCCATCCAGGACATGGCAGCAGGCCTGCCCCAGTCAGGGAAATTGTGAGGCACCCGTGGACTCACGGGTGCTGCCATCACAACCGGTCTTGGGATTCAGGAGTGCTGGGGGTCACACAAAGGGACTGGGGGACCCCTGGGAGCCCGCATGTATGCAGGGAGCTGGGATATGGAGATGCCCAGGCCTGGACGACGTGGAAGGACAGGGTCATTGAGAGCAGCCCCGGGATCCCGTGCACATGCGTGATTGAGGCACACGTGTTATCACATGTACTTGCATGCACATTCCTCCCCATCCTCTGTCTTGGGTCCTCGGGTTTGTGGGGTAGCCATGTGTGTGCCTGCAGACTTCCGTCCTGCCACCCATTCAGGTACAGTCTCCCCGAGGGCCCGTGTCCCTGGGATCCTGTCCCTCCAGGCCTGCGGTGGGCAACAACCTCCCCCCACCCCAGCACACACACGCACGCGCGTGAGTGTGTGAGGTCGGCCAGGGACCCTCCCCCACCGGCAGCGTGCGGACTCATGTGGTGCTCTCGGACTTAATCCGCAGCAGCGAGGCCGGGCAGGCAGCATCTGTCACTTTCACAAACACAGGCAAAGGGGTCAGCAGACGCACTCGGCTAGCTCCTCACAGCCGCTGCCCCGGGCAGCCCCAGGCCCCCACCCCTTGCCACCAGCCTGGACCTCTGAACTGAGCCCCTTCTACGGAAAGGCACATACATGTACACACACAGGTGCGCATAAGGGAAACGCAGCCCCGACGCCCC